CGGAGCCGGCGCTGCCGGAACGCCGCGCTGTCCTCGCGGGCCAGGGGGACCCTGGGGGGACACAAAAACGGGGGTTTTAGACCCAAAAATGGAGCCAAAAAATCCCGAAAATCAGCAAAAAAAATGGCCCAAAAATGGAGCCAAAATGGAGCCAAAATGGCCCAAAAATGGAGCAAAAATGGCCCAAAAATGGAGCCAAAATGGCCCAAAAATGGATCTAAAATAGCCCAAAAATCCAACCCAGAATGGCCCAAAAATGGAGCCAAAAAATCCTGAAAATCAGGAAAAAAATGGCCCAAAAATGGAGCCAAAATGGCCCAAAAATCCAACCCAAAATGGCCCAAAAATGGAGCCAAAATGGCCCAAAAATGACCCAAAATGGCCCAGAATTGACCCAAAATGGCCCAGAATTGACCCAAAATGGCCCAGAATTGACCCAAAATGGCCCAAACTCGTCCCCGGAGGCGGCGCTGCCGGAACGCCGCGCTGTCCTCGCGGGCCAGGGGCACCCTGGGGGGACACAAAAACACCCAAAATGAACCCAAAAATGGAGCCAAAATGGCCCAAAAATGGAGCCAAAAAATCCCGAAAATCAGCAAAAAAATGGCCCAAAAATGGAGTCAAAATGGCCCAAAAATGGAGCCAAAATGGTCCAAAAATGGAGCCATAATGGCCCAAAAAAGGAGCCAAAATGGCCCAAAAATGGAGCCAAAATGACCCAAAAATGACCCAAAAATGGAGCCAAAATGGCTCAAAAACAAACCCAAAATGGCCCAAAAACGGACCCAAAATGGCCCAAAAATGGAGCCAAAATGGCTCAAAAATGACCCAAAAATGAACCCAAAAATGGAGCCAAAATGGCCCAAAAATGGACCCAAAATGGCCCAAAAATGGAGCCAAAATGGCCCAGAATTGACCCAAAATGGCCCAGAATTGACCCAAAATGGCCCAGAATTGACCCAAAATGGCCCAAACTCGTCCCCGGAGGCGGCGCTGCCGGAACGCCGCGCTGTCCTCGCGGGCCAGGGGCACCCTGGGGGGACACAAAAACACCCAAAATGAACCCAAAAATGGAGCCAAAATGACCCAAAAATCTAACCCAGAATGGCCCAAAAATGGAGCTAAAATAGCCCAAAAACAGCACCAAAAAAACCCGAAAATCAGAAAAAAAATGGCCCAAAAATGGAGCCAAAATGGTCCAAAAATGGAGCCAGAATGGCCCAAAAATGGAGCCCAAATGGCCCAAAAATGGAGCCCAAATGGCCCAAAAATGGAGCCAAAATGACCCAGAATTGACCCAAAATGGCCCAAACTCATCCCCAGAGCCGGCGCTGCCGGAACGCCGCGCTGTCCTCGCGGGCCAGGGGGACCCTGGGGGGACACAAAAAAGGGGGTTTTAGACCCAAAAATGGAGCCAAAATGGCCCAAAAATGCACCAAAAAAATCCCGAAAATCAGGAAAAAAATGGCCCAAAAATGGGCCCAAAATGGCCCAAAAATGGACCCAAAATGGTCCAAAAATGGAGCCAAAATGGCCCAAAAACAAACCCAAAATGGCCCAAAAATCTAACCCAGAATGGCCCAAAAATGGAGCCAAAATGGCCCAAAAATGACCCAAAAATGGAGCCAAAAAACCCAAAAATGGCAACAAAAAAAATCCCAAAAATGAACCCAAAATGGTCCAAAAATGGACCCAAAATGGCCCAAAAATGGAGCCAAAAAATCCTGAAAATCAGTAAAAAAAATGGCCCAAAAATGGAGCCAAAATGGAGCCAAAATGGCCCAAAAATGGATCTAAAATAGCCCAAAAATCTAACCCAGAATGGCCCAAAAATGGAGCCAAAATGACCCAAAATGGACCCAAAATGGCCCAAAAATGGAGCCAAAATGACCCAAAAAACGAAGCCAAAATGGCCCAAAAATGGAGCCCAAATGGCCCAAAAATGGAGCCAAAAAATCCCGAAAATCAGCAAAAAAATGGCCCAAAAATAGACCCAAAATGACCCAAAAATGGAGCCAAAATGGCCCAAAAATCTAACCCAGAATGGCCCAAAAATGGAGCCAAAATGACCCAGAATTGACCCAAAATGGCCCAAACTCGTCCCCGGAGCCGGCGCTGCCGGAACGCCGCGCTGTCCTCGCGGGCCAGGGGGACCCTGGGGGGACACAAAAACGGGGGTTTTAGACCCAAAAAATGCACCCAAAATGGCCCAAAAATGGAGCCAAAAAATCCCGAAAATCAGGAAAAAAATGGCCCAAAAATGGAGCCAGAATGATCCAAAAATGACCCAAAAATGGACCCAAAATGACCCAGAATTGACCCAAAATGACCCAAAAATGGGCCCAAAATGGCCCAAAAATGGACCCAAAATGGAGCCAAAATGACCCAGAATTGACCCAAAATGACCCAAAAATGGAGCCAAAATGGCCCAAAAATGGATCTCAAATAGCCCAAAAATCTAACCCAAAATGACGCAAAAATGGACCTAAAATAGCCCAAAAATGGAGCCAAAATGACCCAAAAATGGAGCCAAAAATGGACCCAAAATGACCCAAAAATGGAGCCAAAATGGCCCAAAAATGGAGCCAAAAACCCAAAAATGGCAACAAAAAAAATCCCAAAAATGAACCCAAAATGGTCCAAAAATGGAGCCAGAATGGTCCAAAAATGAACCCAAAAATGGAGCCAAAATGGTCCAAAAATGGAGCCAAAAATGGAGCCAAAAAACCCAAAAATGGCAACAAAAAAAATCCCAAAAATGGACCCTAAAATGGCCCAAAAATGGAGCCAAAATGGCCCAAAAATGACCCAAAAATGGCCCAAAAATGACCCAAAAATGACCCAAAAATGGAGCCAAAATGACCCAGAATTGACCCAAAATGACCCAAAAATGGAGCCCAAATGGCCCAAAAATGGCCCAAAATGGACCAAAAATGGACCCAAAAATGGACCCAAAATGGCCCAAAAACCTCCCCTAAAAAAACCCAAAATATCCCAAAAAATCCCCAAAAAATCAAAAAAAAAATCCCCCCAAAAAATCCCAAAAAAATCCAAAAAAAATTAAAAAAAAAAATCCGAAAAATTCCCCAAAAATTCCCAAAAATTCTCCAAAAAATTCCCAAAAGATCCCAAAAAAATCCCAAAAAATCCAAAAAAATCCCCAAAAAATCCCAAAAAGTTCCCAAAAAATCCCCAAAATCCCCCCAAAAATAAATCCCAGAAAAACTCCCCAAAACCCCCGAAAAACCCCAAAAAATCTCAAAAAAATCCCAAAAAAATTCAAAAAAAAAATCCGAAAAATTCCCCAAAAATTCCCAAAAATTCCCCAAAAAAACCCCAAAAATTCCCAAAAAATTCCCAAAAATTCCCCAAAAAATCCTCCAAAAAAACCCAAAAAAACCCAAAAAATCTCAAAAAAATATCAAAAAATCCCAAAAAAAATCCCAAAAAATCCCAAAAAATTCCCAAAAATTCCCCAAAAATTCCCCAAAAAATCCAAAAAATCCCAAAAAATCTCAAAAAATTCCCAAAAATTCCCAAAAAATTCCCCAAAAAAATCCCAAAAAATCCCCCAAAAAATAAAAAAAAAATCCCAAAAAGTTCCCAAAAAATCCAAAAAAAATCCCCAAAAATCCCCAAAAAAATGCCAAAAAAACCCCAAAAAAATCCCAAAAAAATCCCCAAAAAATCCCAAAAAAATCCCCAAAAATTCCCAAAAAAATCTCCCAAAAAATCCCAAAAATCCCCAAAAAATCCCAAAAAATCCTCAAAAATTCCCAAAAAATTCCCCAAAAAATCCCAAAAAAATCCCAAAAAATCTCAAAAAAATCCCAAAAAATCCCAAAAAAATCCCAAAAAAACCCCCAAAAAAATCCCAAAAAATCCCTAAAAAATCCCCAAAAAATCCCAAAAAATCCCAAAAAAATCCCCCAAAAAATCCCCAAAAAATCCCCAAAAATCCCAAAAAATCCCCAAAAAATCCCAAAAAAATCCCAAAAAAATCCCAAAAAATCCCCAAAAATTCCCAAAAAATTCCCCAGCATTCCCAGCATTCCCAGAATTCCCGGATCCCCCCCGGGATCCCCCCCAGACCCACGTGTAGGAGGCCAGGCTGGAGTCGTAGGTGCTCTTGACGCCGTAATTCTCCTCGTTGAATCGGAACATCTCGTTGGGATCCCAGCCGTTGGACTGCGGGAATTCCATGGGAATTTCGTGGGAATTCCGTGGGATTTTATGGGGATTTATTGGGGATTTATTGGGGATTTATTGGGGATTTATTGATAATTTATTGGGGATTTATTGATAATTTATTGATAATTTATTGGGGATTTATTGATGATTTATTGGAGATTTATTGGGAATTTTATGGGGATTTATTGGGGATTTATCGGGGATTTATTGGGGATTTATTGATAATTTATTGGGGATTTATTGGGAATTTATTGGGAATTTATTGGGGATTTTATTGGGGATTTATTGGGGATATATTGGGGATTTTATGGGGATTTATTGGGGATTTATTGGGGATTTATTGGGAATTTTATGGGGATTTATTGGGGATTTATTGAGGATTTTATGGGGATTTATTGGGGATTTTATGGGGATTTATTGGGGATTTATTGGGGATTTTATGGGGATTTATTGGGGATTTATTGGGAATTTATTGGGAATTTTATGGGGATTTATTGGGGATTTATTGGGGATTTATTGGGGATTTTATGAGGATTTTATGGGGATTTATTGACAATTTATTGATGATTTATTGGGGGTTTATCGGGGATTTATCGGGGATTTATTGGGGATTTATTGGCGATTTATTGGGAATTTTATGGGGATTTATTTGGGATTTATTAGGGATTTATTGGGGATTTATTGGGGATTTATTGGGGATTTATTGGGGATTTATCGGGAATTTTATGGGGATTTATTGGGGATTTATTGATAATTTATTGATAATTTATTGAGGATTTATTGGGAATTTTTTGATGAATTTTGGGCGATTTTAGGTGAATTTGGGTGAATTTTGATGAATTTTGATGAATTTTGATGAATTTTGTGTGATTTTGGCTGATTTTGGGTGATTTTGGTTAAATTCTGGGTGATTTTGGGTGATTTTGGGTGGATTTTGGGTGAATTTTGGGTGATTTTGGGTGATTTTGGGCAGATTTTGGGTGATTTTGGTTAAATTCTGGGTGATTTTGGGGTGATTTTGTGTGATTTTGGGGTGATTTGGGCTGATTTGGGCTGATTTGGGCTGATATTGGGTGAATTTTGGGCGATTTTGGTTAAATTTTGGCTGATTTTGGGGTGATTTTGGCTGATTTTGGGTGATTTTGTGATTTTGGCTGATTTTGGTTAAATTTTGGCTGATTTGGGCTGATTTTGGGGTGAATTTTGGGCGATTTTGGTTAAATTCTGGGTGATTTTGGCTGATTTTGGCTGATTTTGTGTGATTTTGTGTGAATTTTGGGCGATTTTGGTTGAATTTGGGTGAATTTTGGGCGATTTTGGTTAAATTCTGGGTGATTTTGGGGTGATTTTGGGGTGATTTTGGGGTGAATTTTGGGCGATTTTTTGTGATTTTAGGTGAATTTTGGGTGATTTTGGTTAAATTTTGTGTGATTTTGGTTAAATTTTGGCTGATTTGGGCTGATTTTGGGTGAATTTTGGGCGATTTTGGTTAAATTCTGGGTGATTTTGGGTGATTTTGGGATGAATTTTGGGCGATTTTGGTTAAATTCTGGGTGATTTTGGGGTGATTTTGGGGTAAATTTGGGGTGATTTTGGTTGAATTTGGGGAGATTTTAGTTGAATTTGGGGTGATTTTGGGGTGATTTTGGGGTGAATTTTGGGCGATTTTGGGTGATTTTAGGTGAATTTTGGGTGATTTTGGTTAAATTTTGTGTGATTTTGGTTAAATTTTGGCTGATTTTTTGTGATTTTGGGTGAATTTTGGGCGATTTTGGTTAAATTCTGGGTGATTTTGGGCTGATTTTGGTTAAATTCTGGCTGATTCTGGGTGATTTTGGGGTGAATTTTGTGTGATTTTGGCTGATTTGGGGTGATTTTGGGGTGATTTTTTGTGATTTTGGGCTGATTTTGGGTGATTTTGGTTAAATTCTGGGTGATTTTGGGGTGATTTTGGCTGATTTTGGGTGAATTTTGTGTGATTTTGGCTGATTTTGGCTGATTTTGGGCTGATTTTGGGCGATTTTGGTTAAATTTTGGCTGATTTGGGCTGATTTTGGGTGAATTTTGGGCGATTTTGGTTAAATTCTGGCTGATTTTGGGGTGATTTTGGCTGATTTTGGCTGATTTGTGTGATTTTGGGGTGATTTTGGTTAAATTCTGGCTGATTCTGGGTGATTTTGGGGTGAATTTTGTGTGATTTTGGCTGATTTGGGCTGATTTTGGGTGATTTTGGTTAAATTCTGGGTGATTTTGGGGTGATTTTGGGGTGAATTTTGGGCGATTTTTTGTGATTTTAGGTGAATTTTGGGTGATTTTGGTTAAATTTTGGGTGATTTTGGCTGATTTTGGGCTGATTTCGGTTAAATTCTGGGTGATTTTGGGCTGATTTTGGGCTATTTTGGTTAAATCCTGGCTGATTTTTTGTGATTTTGGGCTGATTTTGGGCTGATTTTGGGCTGATTTTGGGCGATTTTGGTTAAATCCTGGCTGATTTTTGCTGATTTTGGGCTGTTTTTGGGCGATTTTGGTTAAATCCTGGCTGATTTTTTGTGATTTTGGGCTGATTTTTTGTGATTCTGGGCTGATTTTGGGCTATTTTGGTCAAATCCTGGCTGATTTTTTGTGATTTTGGGCTGGTTTTGGGCTATTTTGGTTAAATCCTGGCTGATTTTTTGTGATTTTGGGCTGATTTTGGGCGATTTTGGTTAAATCCTGGCTGATTTTGTGTGATTTTGGGGTGATTTTGGGCGATTTTGGTTAAATCCCGGGTACCAGCTCAGCCTCCAGCTCGCAGTCGTCGCCGTCGCCGCCGTCCCAACGTTCCAGAACTTTCTCCCGGAATTCCCCGTTCAGCCGGAGCCGCCCGGCGATCGCCGCGTCCGTGAACCTGTCTGCAAAGGCACGGAAAGTTCCGGAAAAATCCCCCACTGCCCGGGAAATTTGGGGGGAATTCGGGGGATTTTGGGGAATTTTGGGGGATTTTGGGTGAATTTTGGGGGATTTTGGGGGATTTTTTTGGGATTTTTGGGGATTTTTTGGGGATTTTTGGGGAATTTTTGGGAATTTTTGGGTGAATTTGGGGGGGGTTTTGGGGATTTTGGGAAATTTTGGGGATTTTTGGGGATTTTTTGGGATTTTTTTGGAATTTGGGGGGAATTTTCAGATTTTTCGGGGAATTTTTGGGAAATTTTGGGAATTTTTGAGGATTTTGTGGGAATTTTGGGGGATTTTGGGGGGAATTTTGGGGGATTTTGGGGGATTTTTGGGGATTTTTTGGGATTTTTTGGGATTTTTTGGGAATTTTGGGGGATTTTTGGGGGGAATTTTGGGAATTTTTGGGGGAATTTTGGGAAATTTTGGGGAATTTGGGGGATTTTTCGGGGATTTTGGGGGATTTTGGGTGAATTTTGGGAATTTTCAGGGATTTTCAGGGATTTTTGGGGATTTTTTGGGGATTTTTTGGGGATTTTTTGGGGGAATTTGGGAGATTTTGTGGGATTTTTTGGGGGGAATTTTGGGAAATTTTGGGAATTTTTGGGGATTTTTTGGGATTTTTTGGGAATTTTTGGGGATTTTTGGGAATTTTGGGGGATTTTTTGGGGATTTTGGGGGATTTTTGGGGGATTTTTGGGTGAATTTTGGGAATTTTGGAGATTTTGAGGGAAATTTTGGGGAATTTGGGGGAATTTTCGGCATTTTTGGGGAATTTTGGGGATTTTTGGGGATTTTTGGGTGGATTTTGGGAAATTTGGGGTGATTTTTGGGAAAATTTGGGAATTTTGGGGG